GCATTACCCGGAGTAAAGATGCTTGACTTCGGCTTCTCAGGATTCAAGGACTTCGGTCGAGATGCTAATGATGTAGCGGGTGGTGTTGATGGAAGCGCTTTTTTTAAGGGGTATTAGTTCGTATTCCAGATGGGGCTTGTCACACTTACTCGTCACAGTTCTGGGTCGGTATCTCTGACATAGAGAGAAGGCTCTTTCTAGCGCTTTGATATCGGAGTCAAGAACTTCTCTTCGATTTTGGATGTCATCCGTTTCCGCAGCCAACTCATCGAGTCGTTCTTTCGACATCTGAGAGACTTTGGTTGCAGTGAAGATGTTGGGAATGCCAGAAATAAGGCATCTTTCAATAGCGAGATTGATTACATTCACGGCAAATGTACCACGTGCAGACTGGAATTGTTAATAAACAGTGGAAAGGGAGACGGGGCGGAGCTTGATCTCACCTCGTAGTATGCGAGCATCATGTCAACTGCAGCCTGCGTACCAAATTCTCCACCATCTAGCTGCGTGTCTTCCAAGATCGCATTTGTGATTGCCGCTTTGTCTAGATGTAGGGTGCCGAGCACTTGTCTTTGCTCCAGAATTTTGTACACACGATCGGCGATTTTGCCTTTAGATTTCTTGGAGAGAGCAACGTGAAACTCGGCATCGAGAGCAACAGTGTAGCCGTCGTGATAGGGCTGAAGCAACTCGTCTAGTTTTTCCTCCAGGATCTTCTCCTGGTCAGAGAACCATGGATCCACACAGGTGGATAGGATAACCTCTGTCGTCCTGTTGGTGTCTGCAGACCCCAATATGTGCTCAAATACAGCGTCAACGAAAGCCTTCGCAACAAAGGTAACTTGCTTGACATGGAAGCGAGAGATCTCCTCCCAAGGTTTGGCCTGCTCTTGGAATAATTTGATAGCCAGGTCTTTGTTCGAATGCCCGGGGAACTCTTTGCCTTGATTGATAGAAGCCTGTCGTTGCAGATCAAGGTGGACAGCTGACTCTGTCGTAATAATTGGGTCGGGGAAGTCATAAGGATATTTCTGCAAGAATCTCCGGAGATACTCAGGAGGTCCCTCTGTTGGTCTCACAAATTGACCATCTGGATGTATCAGTTTCGATGAACCTTTGCTCCAGAGGACATGTTGAAATGCGCGGTTGAAGTTCCGCAACTGAGCCCTGAACTTATGGTGCTCATGCTCTAAGTCACCAAAGAACGGGTCATCATATCGACCATCAACACCATCCTTAGCAAGAGACTGGAACTGGCTGGCGATTTTGATCAAAAATGACCGCCTATCATCAGTGTCTGATCTAGGTGGGCCCAGTTTGGCTAGTTCAGTTCGCCTTTCTTTGAGGTTCTTCTCGATGTTGATAATAACCTCGGGGAGACTCTTCCGGATATGGTCGTATAGAACTCTGCTGAGCTTCTTCCGGAGGTTGGAAATGCCAAGGCTGGGATCAGGAACATCTTTCCAGACCCCGGTTTTGAAGAAATCCAGCTCAGCAGCGTCGCGATCGTCAAGATCAGCTTCCACGTTGGCATGATTGCGTAGCACATGCCACCCTAGACGCAGCTTGTTGGCGCCCTCATTCTTCGTAACAAGCTTCGCATACTCAACCTCTGATTCCGATTTTGCTACCATCAAGTCGGGCTTGGTGATGACGCCAATTGTCCTGTCGCGCGATGGATCGACAGCCTTCACTTTGGAAAGAGCGTCGTGATTTGCCAGAGGCTGATTGCCCGCAATGACGTTGAGGATGATGCTCTCCTTCTTGGACATGTAGTCCAGAACAAGCTGATCGACAACAATCTTTCCGGCCAGAGATTGCGTCTCAGTTTCCACGTAGAAAAAGCCGGGTAGGTCAATGACTGTCAAGGGGTACATTTTGGGACCATGGATTTCGAGACGGAGAACATCTCGCGTGAATCCTTTGTCTGTAATCGAGACGCCCATGTGTTTCTTGGCCTCCTCTATAATACTGGGCAGGTCATTATCGTCGAACCCAGATGTGTCGACGACTAGAGGTGCCTTGGTTTGGCCGAAATATCGGACAGTGGCCTTTACATTCGTCGCCGCAGCTGGTTGAAGAACCAACTCCGTGGCAAACCGTGTACATAAGCCATCCTTGACGGGGAAGCGAACATGGCAAAGTGCCTCAAGGACAGATGACTTGCCAGAAGATTGATCGCCGACGACGATAATCTGCGGTAAATTGACGATTCTGTCGACGCCATATGCTCGTAGACTGTTGATTGTTTCGTGAAGCTCTCTAGCCTCTTTTGTGTTCAGCTCGTCTAGTATCTGCGAATTGATGGAGACTTCCATTGTAACTGTGGCACCTGGAGGCGTTATTGTAAGGTTGAGAAAGAGGCCAGTCACCTGAAGAGGGCCGAGATTCGCCTAAATTCCTTTGCTACTGCCAAGGCAGCTGAACCAACAAGCGCCTCCTGAGGCACAGCTGAGTCAGGGGGGAATTGCCAGGGGCGCGGAGGCACATGCATATAAGCGCCGCTGTGTGCGGGGCAGCTTCTAGCAGCTCCAAGATCTCCGTTGATTATTGGCTCAAGCGATGAGATCAGAAACCAGGTGGTAGGCGTCAGCGTGTAGAGTGTTGTAGGGCGGGCAGTCCAGGTTGTCTTGGTTGTTGGCATTGATACTGTTGCTGGTTACAATTAGTATCCACATATCTCAAGTCTAAAGATCACTTGAATAGCCTCGCTTTTTCAAGGGTATTTATTCTTCATGACTTTAGGCGTTCCAAATCGACCCGGGGATGGACTTCGCATGTTGTATCCGTGCAGCTCTCCTTCATTACGTACTAAAATATCACCTTACTGTAATCGCCAGGTAGGGATAGAAGATAGAGGTTTTCAAAGCAGCCGTCCTAGATTTGCCTTACAGGACAGTAAGGGCAATGGGGGCTTGAAGAAGCAGCATTGGAAAGCACACGAATTGCCCTGCATAGCGTCAATCGCACGCCCCGAGATTAGCGCATATCCTTTTCCGTGGAAACCATATGCCTCTATCAACGGTTCTACCAAAATTCAACCAAAAACAACCCGTAAAGAGAGAAGAATAATAATGAACAGAGAACTTCAAAGTGAGCTTCAACCTCGGTTCCTGAGACGCGTTATATCCGACCTTTACGTGTATTCTTGGCTGGCAAACGGGGCAGACTCGTCTCAAAACTGTTTAGTGGTATCCCTCCCGTGGGTAACATCGCTGGACTGGACGTTAGGCTTCCAGGCTTTCAGCCACTATTTGGTGAACCTCCGGCAGCTATAATGCCTATTTCTAGGGGGCCAAACCGGCTCTTTAACCAATCTGAGGCCCCAAGACAAAGACCAAGCGGTGAAAGAGCACTCTTGTGGCGATTGTATGATGTATTTTTCGACTTCTGCTTATATTGGTGAACCTCCGGCATAACGTCGACCCAATTGCATTGTGTTATTACCTTTCGCGTGATGAATTACCAGATTTCCGCAGCGTCGCATGCAGATTTTGAAAAAAAGAACAAAGGTAGGTTGTTTTCAAACATGCAGCCAACTGCAGCTCAGCCCAGCAGCTCGGACATCGCCTAACGAGGCGAGATCTGCACCAGATAACCGTGGCACATAAGAATGCCAGTCAACCAGCCTTTCCCACCCTCCAAACTTGCATTCACATTCATTCATTGCCGGAATTATTGTCACATTATTGGTATTTGGCCAGATGTCTCTCTCTGCTGAAGCAATCATCACACTCATCGGGGTGTTGCTATCCCTGCCCTCCGTTGTGTTGTTGTTTTGGCACCTCTGTACAAATGCACTCTCTCTTCGAAGAAGCGAGACAAGCATCGCACTAGCTGCAGATGAGGAGCGTTGGATCGATATGAGCAAGGATCATGTACTTCACCCCTTCCATCCAGTTCACCATGGTTGGCAGCATCGGGTTATACTGACTACACTTGGTCCATTATGCAGAAGCTCACACCTATGCCCAGGGTGAAGTTGGCGCGCCGGAGATCAAGCACGCTCTGAGAACCGAGCTGCAGATCGCCCATACACAGCTGGGGTAGCTGTCAGAAAATTATGGAATACACGAAACGGCACCCCATCTTTCAATACATGTACAGGGACTGAAAAGGCACAAATTTTTTTTGTTCTTCTTTCCAAAAGAAATGGCGCAAGGAGTCTAGCCACACCAAATATCACCAAAAGCTATACACGGTCGCAAGACCATTCATCTTAGAATAGAATCAGAGAATAGATATCATGATCTGATCATTTCTTATTGCCTTAAATTATATTCATACAAGCGCCTGCTCACATAGAGCATCAGAAGCAACTTGAAGCTCGGGGGAAGATATGATCGAGACGATGCCCATATTGCTTGCCTCCCAGACATGCAGACCAAGTTCACTCCCACTATCATCACAGTCTTCTTATATCCTCCTACGGCATGGCCGCCAAAGCCGCTTGATAGAAACTGCCGTAATTTTCATGGAGGATATGTATAGTAAGGCATTTGAATGAGATAAAATCCGTCATCGGGCTGGGCCGATGAGGTCTCGTTGTGAATGATGATCAGCACGCCAAATGACAAGACAACGCTCACACTAAACAACGTACCGACACCAAACAGGCATGTCTCCTTTTCACGGGTCGACGGAAGGCTGTCAGGATTCAGTCAGAAAGAAAAAGAACTCCCTATAAGTCCCGCAATCTAATAATCCATCCGTCAGAGTCGCCTGGAGATTACTGGTGCAGATTGCCATGTTTTTGACCCTGACCTGTCAATCAGATTCTTCGTCCCCAGCGGCTTTTGCGACATTTCCCGCCCCAAAGCCTTGATCCCATGATGGCGTTGATGTTTACAAGAGAGACGCGCTCTTCTTTTGTCCTAAACAAACACAAAGGAATCCCACGAGGGCCTCGTCTAGACTGCTGAGTGGTGTGGAGATGCCGTTTGAGGACATCAATGACTAAACGGATTCATGAGCATTCCATTGAGTCTCAATTCGAAATGTCAAAAATAGAAAGACTCCGAGTCTCGCCCCATTAAAATCTTTGCTTTCTTCAGAACGTAGGCGCTCTGCGCTGCCCGTGATGGTGGTAACCTTCCAGAGTTTTTGTCGAGATATTGCACCATGTCAAGAATATATTCCTTCTCCGTAGAATTGGCAACCTCATAAGTTGCGTAAAGGGGCGCTTCCGGGAACCGTCCAGCCAGCCAGTTTGTTGACCGTATGTATGGAATACACATCCAGGCCTCGACGGCAACCGATCGGAGCCTCGCATGTAAATCATTGTCCGAGGTACCATGGAGAACTCTGTCAGTCTCGTACAAGATGTGTAGTGGGACGAGGTGTAGGAACAGCACAACCAGATATAGCTGACAGAGCATTGGGTCGGTAAAGTCGTATCTCTTTCCCACGATGCCATCGGGGTCATTGACCACTATCATGGCGCCTTCTTCCAGGGCATATTCTAACAACATCTGAATGGTCTTTGCTATGGCTGCTTCCATGTCGTTCACTTGCCCATTCCGGGCAGCGGCATTGGCATTTGGTTTGGATTTAAATGATTGGCGCGAGGTATTTTGAAACTCGGAAATCAGCGCGTTGAGATTGCGGCAGCATTCGGCGAGAGTCTCTAAATCGGACATGGCCAAGTTATCTCCTTTGACAATCTTCCGATGGGTTGATTTGGCCCTTTCCAGAGCTTCTTTCCATTCTGTGGTCTTCGGCGGAATCCCGCCACGCTGCACGCTCCAACCAGACATCTGCGTCGAGCATAAGCAACAAACTCATTGTACTAGTTGTGGAAGATGAACTTACCTCCATCCCGTACAGATCATTACACACGGCAACATCCAACTCATCATCGTTGTTTGTCGGCCCTCGTTGTTTCATCATTTGAATGGCAGCACGGGAATGGATGTTGAACTTTTTACCCTGCCGATCGAACAAGTCCGAGGCACGCTCCATGAGCGCAATTGCAGCTAACGTCTCGGCCTTGAGCGCTTCATCATTCGTGAGAGCTAGCCGCAGGCTTCTCAAGGCTTTCCCATACTCCGGCAACAACATGAGATCTCGTTTAGGCTCTGGCTGCTGGAAATCTGTCAAGCCTGAACAGAATAGTTCGACTGAATCTCGTAGACAAGCACTGCTCTGTATCCTCATCGGCAGCTTCAGAACAAATGTTAAGCCGAGATGCGTGATCTTTTGCAATCCCCCCTCTAGGTGAGAGATTAAGCGCATACAGGAAAGTTCATCAGGTGTTGGCGAGACAGCCTTCGGACTGGGACTTTGGTCAGATAAACTTTCTGGCGTACGGCGTCCTCCTCCACGGATACCAGAGCTGTGAGCCCGTTGCAGGCGCAAGTTGTGCCACGCCCCTCCAGCACCTTGTCCTCGTGGGGATGAAGCGCGAACATGCTTCTTCTTCCCCGGAACTGGAAAGCTGTGGTCCACGAACTTGAATAGCTGCGCTGGGCCTGGACATATCAATCTTGAAGTCTGGCAGTGGAGGCACTTAGGCCATGTCTCGTCACACTGGGAACATGTCAGAATCACGTCTACATTGCGACGATCATCTCTCGATTTGCGATGGCAGTCGAGGAGGGGCTGACGACATTGCTACTCACCTTGATTTTCCGCAGCTTGCAGCTCTGACACCCCTGTGATTTCGGAACGCCAGGCATGTTTAACGGTAAGCATGTCTCGAGTTGCCTTGGTAGTTATTGCGCGACAGAATGCCGGATGAAGCCTAGATATGCTCTTCCCGTCAGTCGCGAGCCCAATGATTCACGGTTGATCGAGGGTCATGCTTGGCCCCTTTCCGAAAAGTGTCGGTTAAATTCCGCCAACGAGGGCCCTTGCAAACCACACTGCCGCTGATGTAACCCTTCACAGGGATCGGCTCTTCAGCAGCACTGGCAGGAATCTCTACTGGATCTGGTGGCCCCCCTTGATTGGCCAACTTGCCTCGCGTGATGTAACCAGGCTGGCTACAGAGGACCTTCTGATCCTTGGCCCCCAAGAGTACGACCTGGAGCTGAATCCAATTGCGACCTTCCCCCCAGTTCATCGAGCTTTTAGGGCGCAACGAGCTGATCCTGAGGCTGTCTCGAAAGTTCCACAATCGCCTACCTCGCCTAATTCGATCGAAATGACCTGACAGGCGGCATCTCAAAGTAATCTATACTCCATTCCATCGTAGATGCTAACTGCATTGCAGCGTAGTATCCCTGTAATTCCCCTGCTAAGCGAACGTGCATACGTAGCTCAGGAAACCCCGGCACCTAACCCATTGGCCTGTCGTTCAGCGGCTGTTTTCAGGTCCTGGCTGAGGACCTGGAAGTGCCCCAGGCTCTGCCTCCCAAATTCCCAGTTTTGGCCGACGAGAAAGGCAAGCAGCCCGGTGAACTGCTCGCTCTGGATGAATGTCGTACCGCCAGGGTTCTTCCGGCTATAGGAGAAGATGAAGCTGTGAGTCCCATTGAATATCATCCGTGGTCCTCCATTCCATTCCAACAGCTCTGGGATATTTTCCTTCGGATATTGTTAGCAACAGCGTCGCGGTGAGGTGGATTCCGACCTACCCGGAGCGTGGGCTGAAAGCGAAAGGGGTAGGGATAGCCCATGAATGTATAACCTCTGATCTCCATGTCGAGCTTATCTCCAGGCTTGAGGTCCACGGGCTTCATGCTTGGATCCAAGCATTTGAATACATATGTGCCATGCCAGTCTTTGTGATGCTCAAAGTCGAGCAGCTACCAGTGATCATTAGCGAGCGGGGTTGCAGTGACATTAGATGACGGACGGCACTTGTATTACAACGCACCACTGATCGCACTATGTCCGGAGGAGCGTCGATTTCGATCCGCGTGAACAGGCTGTAAATTTGTCCCATTTTGGTCTGTGATAATTCGTGGTGGTTTGTGGGATTCCCTCATATGCGAAAAGATGACATCAAGGAATTTATACATCTATCTAGTCTGTGAGAAAATGGAGCCTGGCCTTCTTTTTGCAGCTAGCCAAAGGCTAAAGAGGAAATAATTCAACCATGGACCATCAGTCTGTAAGGTGGAACCATGTACCGAGGGAACACTCTTTGGGGAATTGATGTGCGAGCCTTCTGAGCGTCAGGTCAATCACGGCTCATAGGATCAATAGAGTCAGCCCCCCCCATAGATTGTTAACGAAGAACGGGCTTCATCTTCCCAACTGCCAAGTCTTCGGTATTTGCATTTCAGTGTTAGGCTATTGACGGCTGGCACCGGCACTGTGTGTGAGAGCGGCGTTACCCGTGAGTCCGCGTTCGAAGGGCGGGTTTCTCCGTCTCCGAGAGTTAACGCCTCCAACGTATTACTTTCTCGGGGAAGATAGTCAAGAGGTGGCAAGTTACGGGGGGGAATTCAGCAATTATGGTTACCCGGATAGCTGCGTGGAAGCAGTATCCGGTTACTTGAAGATGCTCAGGGCATGGCGTGAGCCATCAATTCGACATGGGAGTTTGGACAAGTGTCGGGATTGAGTGTTCATTCACAAGACGCCTACGCTACTTTCAAATATTTTGAGACCGAAAGGTTAAAACCTTGATTCACGCAGCGAGGACATTGTAGTTTGTGAGTCTTGTGTTCTAATGATTCGACTCACAAAACGAAAGGTTTCCCCTTTGGTGTTTGCAGGTTCAGGATGCAACTAAACGTTGACTGGTCATTGCATTAAGCCACCTAGGATATCAGTACTTAGGGACGGCTATAATGGTCAAATACCTCTTGCTGAGCAGGAATATTTCCCGTCGATTAGCATCCTAACCTTGGATGTCTTTATCCTACCTACAGATTAAGTGGTTGGTTTGGATCAAGCCATGACTCTTCGTGTTGAGGAGATCTACAAACCTACGGTTCGCCATTCAATGGGAAGAACCGAGAATGTGAATGAACTGAAACTCGGCATTATATTTGATGAATTAGAAATGGTGAAGTACGGCGCACTCATTGTTCAGTTGCCTAAGCCAGATGTTGGATGCGGAGTCTGGCTATCCTTCTCTCCGTGTACATGAACCGGATAACATCAACTCATGCTGTCGTTTTTAACATCCCGACGCATTTATTCGATCTTGCCTAGCAATTTTATTCGTGATTGAAATGTGCTTTTGCCACGGATCGCCAAGCCGATGAGAAATGTAGCGGGCAGCGGCCCGGGGACCGGATCCCCGTATGACCGGATGTCCGTACAATGACGTCCGAAAGATGCCCGATACTGATTGCGTAGTGACAGTCCTGCTTACCTCACCGAAGAGCGAGGCTCGGGATTGACATGCGCTATACTCGTTCTACCAGTGCCTTTGGCCAATAATCGATACACCAGCCGAGCCCAAGACTTGCAAGTTCCCGGTCCTTGTTCCGGTCCCACCCCTATGTTCAAGATCGAGGAGGGGAAGCTAGAGTTCCGTTAACATGAAGCCAGGGAGCGGATTTAGTCTCATAAATACGGTTTATCCGCGTTGCCCCTCTTTCCCGCTGGCATCACTCTAACAAACGGCAGGCTAACGATTACTTGTGTTCCCAACATCGACAAAATGCCTAGCTTTTCACAAACCACCACCCAGGCAGAGGTCTCGACCAAGGTGCAGCTTACGCCTGCCCCCCAAAGAGAAAATGTGCAGTTCCAGGATCTCGTTATCGGCGACCGAGAGGGCAAGCTGCAGCTACAAGGAATTCCTACCTTCACCGACCCATACAAAGAGAGGCAATGGATGAAGGAGCATATGGCTGCGGCCTTCCGCTTCTTCGCAAAGAATGGTTATGCTGAGGGTATTGCTGGCCATATTTCGATGCGTGGTATGTTTGGATATTGCTCTTCTACCGCCGAAGGGTAGGATGGCGATGTGTAATTGGCCCCGGCTAATCAAAGTTCGTGCCAGACCCTATTCTTGAGGACCATCTCTGGTTCAACCCATACGCAAAGCATTTTGGAGCCATGAAGGCATCTGATCTCGTTCTCGTGCATCCCGACGGCTACGTTGTTGAGGGAGGAAACCAGGCTGTCGTCAATACTGCAGGCTATATTATTCACTCCGAAGTTCACAAGGCCCGGCCTGATGTGATGGCTGCCGCCCACGCTCATAGCACCTATGGCAAGACGTGGAGTGCTTTCGGAAAGCCTATCGAGATGTTGACTCAAGGTACGCAAAGAGTGTTAGCTTTTTTCCACTGCCGGTATCTAATGTTGGTAGATGCGTGCAACTTTTACGGGATTCAGAGTGTTTACGATGATCATGGCGGCACTGTCCTGGCAAAGGAGGAGGGGCAGTCGATTGCTAAAGCACTTGGTGATAAAAACTCGGTTTGTATTCTAAAGAATCATGGGTACGAGTTCCCCAAAATTGGCTTCACTTAAATTGGAAGATTTACTGATAATTTCTAGACTTCTCACGGTTGGCCAAACTGTCGATGAGGCAGCCTTTTTGTTCTACAGTTTTGATCAGGCTTGTCACTCCCAACTACTTGCAGAGGCTGCTGCAGCCAATGGTATCCTCAAGAGCATCATTTCCGACCACGTCGCCAAGTACAACGCGGATGTGATCCAGAGCGCAGTAAGAACCCACCACTTGTGATCTTATCCGCGGCCTGATGGAACCCTATTGACAATCTAATAATGCTTTAGGTCAATTTCTACATTGAATTCCAGCCTGAGTTCGATTTGATTGTAGAAGAGAGCAACGGCAGGGTGTTGGAATAATCACTCTGGCCTAGAACTTTCCGCCCTTTGATGATAAGCATTATCTTTTCAGAAGATAATCCTAGATTGAGTTTGTTTTATTATGAAGCATCCTTTGTTCGTGGTCACACCGACCCGGCCTTACAGCGACTTAGCATTTTCTACTAGATGATGCATGATTGATGTTGTATCTGATAATAACGAAGAATAGCCTGGCCGCAACTTCAAAAGATGAACAGCGTCGTTCATTTCAACAAAACCCAGAAGTCTTCAGCCTGCTAATGTGCGTGTCTGCCGTTTCCCCCAACAAAATTAGTGAATTAATAATGTGCTTTGCCTACCTCCACAAGCAATATCTCAGTCAGATCTTGGTCAGCTTGAAACCACCTGTTATTGATGCCACGGGCGGCCGTGGAGCAGCCACGGAGCAGCCACGAAGCCTATTTATTTGACATCGACTAGGGCACAGTAGGTCATCCCCGCTAGTTCTGCCATCATTTTCTTCTGTCATGATTAGCTAGCTTGCAAAAATCCTCTCTTCTTTGTCCTACTTCAAACAAGTTTATGCAGTAAGTTGAGCTTACCAACGGATGAAGGTCCATAGTTCTCGTGATGTGGATCGAACGCGTCTGCCAGGAAATCACCCTGGAAACGAAGCATACCAGTACCATGACTGCCAAGTGGGTGACATTGAAATTGAGACACTCAAACAATAAGTTGCTTATTCTTGAGTCTGCGAGCGGTATTATCAGGTTATTAAGTACTAATAATATATACTTAAGAGATAATACAGTCTATATTGCTTCCTTGCTTTATTTTCTGTTATTGAATTTCTTGATTTATTCTAGAAAGTAGTCTGTTTATTACCACTCTTCGATTAGGTGTCTCATTTCTTGTGTCACCCACTTGACTGCCTCCATGAAGCATTGAGGAGAACAATGGTGATGACATGTACGTTCGTCTTGGCGATCTGCAGCTCATCAGAAATGGCAAAGTCTCCCACTATATATGCTTACCAAGCATGCGTCCGGAGATAAAATCTAAGCCGAATACAGAGACATGATACGAAGATTCCCCCGATAATCGTGGCTGATTCTGCGTTTGTAAGCTAGCTTGGGTATGATGCTGCGACAGAGCGGGGATGTTGTATGCGGTGTGGTCGACTACCAACTCGTCATACGATACAGCTCACTTTCATCATTGTTACGCGTAACGATTTGCTGTGCCCCAGTGAAACAGATCCAACATTCTTATGCGCTCTGTGGAATAAATAGGCTTTCGTCCATACCATTGTAGTCCCATGGTGTGAGCTCAAGAATTGTCTTCATCAATCCTCTTCACCAGCCATGCGATCATTCCAACTTCTAGTAACGGTCGCTGCCGTCCTTCCAACTGTTGCCGTATCAGCCTCTAAGAAGCTTCTTAGTGGCGGCATCATCGTTGCCTTCGACCATGAAACCGAATCCTTAAAAGTAATCCGAGGCGGCTCGATTCTCATCGACGGAGAACGAATTGAAAAAGTTTTCGAGGACGCCAAAGAAGCAAACGCCAGTATACCCATCATTGACACCACTTTAGAGACTGGCGACAGCTCGACAAGTGTCGAGGTCATCGATTGCACAAACAAGATCATCACTCCCGGCTTCATTGATACTCACCGCCATGGATGGCAAACAGTTTTCAAGACAATGGGTTCCAACACAACACTCCCCGACTACGCATGGAGATATAGCGCTGTGGTAGCTCAGCCGCTATTCACGCCCGATGATCTGTACATCAGCCAGCTGGTTGGCCTATATGAGGCAGTGGCCGCGGGCGTGACAACAACTCTGGATCATGCCCATCACACTTGGAGCTCTGATGCCGCCACGGCCGGCCTTCGTGCCACAATCGATAGCGGGTTGAGAGTTTTCTGGGCATACGCATTCCAACCCATTTATGAAAACTTTCCAATTCAGGAACAGATTTCCCAATGGAAACAGCTGGTATCCCAGGTGGCAGGCTCCGTCACGGAACTTGCAGTGGCATACGATTTTTGGACTGAGAGTCCCTTCATAGACAAAGCAACCACGGACAAGGTTATTGACCTCCTCAAGTAAGTATCTTTTCTAGGTAAAGACTACAAAAGCCCACTGGAGACAGACCTGACAAGTTCCGTTGTAGCGAATACAAGCCGCTCCTGACTACCCATCACGTCGAGGGCCCGTGGCTAAGTACATGCCCCCGACCTTATTGATCCTTTCTCATGAGCTGACATTCCGTTATCACTTCAGTGGGAAACAGCCCACAAGACTTGAACAAGGCAGGCATTCTCAGCTCCAACATCCCAATTGTGTTCTCTCACAGCTCCTTTATCGACACGAGGGGTGCGAACCTCCTGAGAGCCACTAATAAGCACATCTCCATAACGCCCGAGAGCGAGATGCACTACGGCCATACTCACCCTACTTCCCATCTCATTCTTGACCAGGCGTCACTAGGCGTCGACACTCACTTCACTTTCTCCACAGATATTCTCACTCAGGCTCGCCTGTACTTGCAGTCTGTGCGCTACCGGCTCTTTCAGAAGCCGCTCGACCGTTGGCAGGTAACCGCCAACAGTCCCTTCTCGGTCAACCAGGCCTTCCTCCTAGCGACTCGGAACGGCGGTCTGGCCCTCGGACGAAAAGACCTGGGCGTCATTGCCCCCGACGCCAAGGCCGACATCGTGGTCTGGGATGGCCGCTCACCAGCGTTGCTAGGATGGGCGGATCCCATTGCAGCCATCATTCTACACGCCAGCGTTGGCGACATTGACCACGTAATCGTCAATGGCGAGTTCAAGAAGCGAGACAGGCGGCTAGTTGTTGAAGGCTATGACGAGGCTGTGGACAAGTTTCTTGAAGCCGCGGAGAGGATCCAGGACACTTTGAGAAAGCAGCCCCTCCCGTCGCAAGAGGGAGCCTTTTTGACTGGTACTCCGTTGGGCCAGACTGAAACATTGGATGTCCTTCGAGGCGATGGGAATGGATACGGCCCACAGTTTGTATGATTCCTTGTTCTTTCGTTCAAGCGAACTCCACCCGAAAGGTTGGAAACGTGTGCCAAGAGGATGGCGGTGATTATTACTTGTGATAGCTACAAGTTTCTCACAGACTACTGTAGTATCAATGCAGTCATATATATACGCTGAATCGACTCCAGTAAACTCTCCTTATTTACTCTCAGGTCTAACTTACCTGATGTTGCCTGAAAGTAGATATATCAGAGCCAGCCTGCACGGCCACCATGTATCAGTAGATCATGTGTGACCATTGCGGATGCTCAGTAAGCAGCTGTCTATCATTTCTTGTTGTAATAAATATTATTCTTGCCTATCTACCGTATCTCATTAACTCTTTTACAAGTGTCCTTAGAATGCCAAAGTGCCTCGTAACATCCTGGTGTAGGCCAAAATAGAATCTAGGGGGTTCCTAAAAGGAATCGCGTAGCGACTCAATGTACTCTGGGCTAAATAGAAATACAGGGTAAGGCCTGACCCGAACCTGAAAACCGACTGCCATACCTTCCACCAATTTCTTCAGATGTGAGTTATGCCTGCCGTTATTGCCAGATATGATTTCAATGAGCCGCAAAGATGGTAATCTCATAGGTCTAGTGGCAGCCAAAGATTGGACCATCTCAACAAGAATATCATTCGAGTTGGGCTCTTTTCGATCCTCCAGGATCCAATGTTGTTTGAAGTTTCCATCATTTATCAATTCCTCAAAGAGAGTGAGGGATTCGAGGCCGTCTGGGAGATAGTGCTCAAGAGGCATAGGTTCTGGTCCAGTGCCTTTGAGACACACAAGCGGTACTTCAAGGTGGGTTATTTGACTAAAGCCGCGGAGGCCATCGAATGATCCAAAGACAGTCATCTCTAAGTTCCTGGACGGAATTTTCCCATTGATACCGAAAGAGGTCCGAAACTTGAGTATCTCCAATGTACTTTGACCTGTGATACAGTTTCGATGATTTTGTCAAAGTTGAGAAATGCTGATTCCCAACCTTGGCTTCTGTTGTCGCAGTAAATCCACGTCCAGGAGAGTGATTTTAGGTTTCGTGTAAGGGCGAGTATCTTGCCTAGGAATGGCTCAATAAGCCATTGTATATCCAAAGATACTAGGTGATCTAGATTAGGCTCGGCTCTTGGCCATCTAAACACCTTGGGATTCGGAATAGTGGCTACAAGATGCGTGACCGTGGGAACATAAAAGAGAGATAGCGCAATCTCAGAGATGATATTCTCCTCTGATATTGGGTAATCCAAGCTCTTGACATATCGAATCTCTTTAAGCCTAGTGAATCTAGGCAGCGAGCCGAAGATTTTGGATCGAAGAACTTTGCCGGCAAAGTCATGACCACCAATAAAATTGTGTTGAACGGAAAGACGAGTTGTTTTGGTGAGATTGGAAATCAAGAGGGCAGCGATCGCATCCATTTGTCCACTGCGCAGATTAACGATCCAGCCGGTGCGATATGGTACCCGAGACTGTTCGATGACCTCGAGAAACTGATGGACTGGAGTCTCAGTAGTGTTTAAGCGAGGGCGTGTGGACTCGCCCAAGCAAGGTCCCCGAAGCGCCACCTTGTCGATGAGTGCGAAAAGCTCTGGTCTCTTGAAGAGGGTGCGGAGGAGAGGGACGATTGGAGGCGTGGTGCCAATATCAACCCAGCAAAAAGTGACATCAGAATAAAGGAAGGGCTCGGCAGCGCGGCGAAGCGATTTGCTAACGATGCAAAGCTTGGGAAGGTCGGACTTGGGAACGTGGCTCAGGACGTGATCGACGATCTCGTTCGGCAGGTTCAGGAGTCGGAAGTTCGTCTCCTTCTTCGTAATCGAGGACATATTATTGATTTCGTTGGGCACATTCGAGAACTGCGTACTGATGGCGTTGCCTAGCAAAAAGGGACTTCGCTTTGATCGTCTGCGAGTTTCAAGAGTGGATGATGATGGAGATGGAAACTAATGGGAAGAAGCAGAGGAGGACGAGTGGCAATAGGATGTGCTGGTCTACGGAAAGAACAGACCAGCCGCGCCTTCCTCACTGCATACCTCCATCACTACCTGCAAGGCATAACAAATATTGAGAAGCCATCCATGAAGAGACAAGCAAGCAATAATCAGGGTTGGATGATGTGTCCGAAATGGCTGGAGTGGTCTCTTTAATAACTGCAGTGTTGGCCAGATCGCTCCCATTAAAACCACCACATTCCCAGCATTGATCTCGCATCCTACAAGGCACATTCAAAACAAACGGTCGAGCTCTTCACCGAAATGCTCAAGTACAAAATTCAGAGCAGCAGTTGGTCATGCCCTTGGGTCTAACAAGTAGCGCCAAGTGGGGGACCATTCGGAACCGTCATCATCAAGAGGGGCTGAAGATGGGAATATGTGGTGGCTGGGAGAGGCCTTTTCCACCAGACACAAGATATTTGGAAGCCACCGCCCGGACAAACTCAGACATTACCTTCATTGCCAAAGACGGTCTTGAAGAAATCCATTCATAACACACAAAATGAGACTACTCAACACTGAAACGCTGAAGCTTGAGTTCTTCCAAGCAGATGCTCCCCGATATGCCGTCCTCTCACACAGATGGGAAGAAGAAGAGGTGACGTACGAAGACATCCGGACGGGCAGAGACGTCGCACAGCTTAAAGGATATTCTAAGCTGCGGATGAGCGCACAGGTTGCCAAGGGCGCTGGGTATGACCACATATGGATCGACACCTGTTGCATCGACAAGTCAAGCAGCGCAGAGCTCTCCGAGGCCATCAATTCCATGTTCAAATGGTACAAAGCTTCTGCAGAGTGTATCGCCTATCTCTCGGATATTGAGGGCAGCAGATCGATACTAGAGAGCCGATGGTTTAGCCGTGGGTGGACCTTGCAGGAGATGATCGCGCCCAAGCAGGTCAATTTCTACGATCGTCATTGGGAGCCTCGTGGTTCGAAGAGTGACTGGAAAGGAGCTATACAAAAAAACACTGGAATTCCTTCTGGCGCCCTGGATGGGACCGTGGACTTAAACACCATTCCCATTTGTTGTAAAATGTCTTGGGCAGCTGGGAGGGTGACTACCAGAGGAGAGGATGTTGCCTACTGCCTACTTGGCATCTTCAACGTCAATATGCCCTTGCTCTACGGGGAAGGCCGAGACAAGGCATATCGAAGGCTCCAAGAAACTATCGTCCGAGAGAACGATGACGAGAGCATCTTTGCTTGGACAGCTCCGCCTTTTGAGGCTCTCCAGGTAGATTTCTGGGGTTTGCTGGCGCCGTCTCCGGCGTACTTTCGGGACTCGAGGAGCTACTCAATTCCACGTTTCAAGACGTGGCGAACTGAAGGGCCCTTGGAAATCACGAACAGAGGACTTAAGGCGTCTTTGGCATTATGCCCAATACCTGAAGACATGTCAAAAACCCAGTTCCTCGCTGTGCTTAATTGCTCTCGATCTAGTGAGCATTCAACTAGCGCATCAAGCTCATTCACAATCACACTTCAGAAGCTTTCGGAGTTCGAGGACCAGTATGCTCGCGTCCGACCTGACAAGATTCGATCGGTTGATAGCATAGTCCTTGCAGGCCAAGCTCAGACGAGCACGCGTCCCATATTTGTCCGTTCAGATCCACGGCCTACCGATCCTGTACTTGGCTTCTGCGCCGACAAATCACAAAAAGTACATTTCGATTTCCCAACTAACTCACATGAAGGGCCGGTCGTCTTGAAAGGGTTTACAAACATTGAGTTGGAAGCATCTAACCCATGGCTATGCCAGAAGGTGACCGATTCCCGCGAAGTCTACTCGGTCGAGCTGAGCGAGGATATGGCCTCTGCTGAAGCTCAAAACGAAACCAGCAGTCTCAAGTCAAGAAGGCTCGACGCTGTGCTAAGGCTTCGTTGTCGCTCTTTTCTCTTAGAGGAAGCAGATGGTAATTTTCAAGCACGTTGCAGCCCTTTCCAACCTAGCCCGAGCTACGAAGACCCCTACTTGCTACTCGGTTTTGAGGCTCTGCCACGGAACGCGATGGGGAATCGATCCGCATTCCTCAAACCGTGGTATGCCTTCGCTTCTTCAAGTGAGCCAGAAGCCGTTCAAGCTATCCTAACTAGTGAGAACTTGCTGGAACAGTCAGTGCACACAGCGCCCGGCCATTCTCAATTTCAGATTGAGCTCCAGGCCACGACATTAAACTTCCGGACCTTTTACGAAGTAAATGTAGTCTCCTTTACAGACGATAGGAGCACCTGAGCAGAATCTGATGCTGGGACAAGCATATGTTGAAACGAGACAAGGCGAAGGGCGACCCGAAATGATCAAGGGGCGATGGTATTTAGGGAACATATTGCAACTTCCATTAACAGCTCTGACATGTTACACAAGTGCATGGGTTGAATAACGTCCTGACTTCGCCTTGTAAGCTCGGTGGCGATTTATTCATGGCACAGCCATTGATTATGCTAAGCGACTGTCCTCGCTCTGTTCAATGTTTCATAGCTAGGTAGACACTTGCCATTAATTTTCAACATCACAATAGTTATCTTAGTGACAAATAAAATATCAAGCCAAATATCGTAGAATGATCTATTCTTCTTTTATGATTGTGTTTACCTTGGTCAAAAACGAGGTCCATGCCTTTCGCGGAGAGCCTTGCACTTGGGAGGATTTCGGCGGGCGACCTGACGATCTATCCCCATTACAAGCAAGTGAGTGAACCCTGGTCAAGATGAGCTCAGTTGGGCAGGTTGATCAGACGATCCCTTGAACCTGTATCGTCGGAATGACGGCACATGATTATCCCAGTAAGCTGATGACGATCTCGAGCCGCCGTCAATGCATCACTGACGTTTCATTCGGCCTTTAGAAAAAGGTCCCGTAAAAAAGAGGAGGCCGCGTCTCCCGACTAAATGTAGCGTGTATAAGTTGAGTCGCCCACGCCAATTGCTTTAGATCAATTCGTCCGCAGCACGGTTCAGCAATTTTTTCATTATTCAAACCATCGTCATGAAGAGCTTTTCCAAGTCCCTACGCCAACTGACAATCGTCAGCTTGGCCCTTGGCGTCTATGGTAGATATCATCTTTCCCCACGACATGAGATGCGCAAACTAACCGGTCACAGCGCAAGAGATTCCCCTCCGCATCATGCCGCTTGGAGCCTCCATCACTTGGGGCTACCTTTCGAGCACTGGAAACGGCTACCGCCAAGATTTGCTCGAAAGCTTGACTGGCGCCGGCTACACAGTTGATTACGTTGGCAGCCAGCAAAGCGGCACCATGGCCGATCCAGACAATGAAGGGTACCCTGGCCTGCGTATTGAGCAGGTCCAGACGAAGGCCGAGGAGAACGTGCCAAAGTATCTCCCCAATGTGTACACGATCAATGTCGGGACCAACGATGCGGTGCAGAATTTCGACGTGCCGAATGCTGGCAGCCGCATGAACGACCTCCTCAGCTACCTGTGGACGGCAACACCAGACGCGACCGTGATTCTGTCGACTCTGATCATCAACCTCAACGCAACCGTGGATGCGCGGGCGCAAACCATCAACTCGCAGCTGACTTCTCTCGCCGGCCAGTTGGCAGGTGAGGGCAAGCGCATTGTCTTGGCTGACATGCACGGTTCCGACGGGCCTCAGTCGGATGAAATGGCAGATAGCACGCATCCTAATGATGTTGGTTACCAGAAGATGGCCGATATCTGGTTCCGCGAGATCCAGGAGGCCTCTGCAGCCGGATTCATCCAGCCAGCACCTTAGAGGGTCAATGCAGTAGATACAATACATATATGGCGATGATCGTTACGAGGAATTTTTAATTTGAGTTCCATTGTGAAGGTGAACTACAACTTATTCCGCCCAATGTGCTTGAGTGGGTACTTATGCACAATTACGGCTCTTCCAGCCAATCCACTACAGCGACTGAACACAGTTGAGTATCTTCCGTAGTATAGTGGTCAGTATGCAAGCTTGTCACGCTTGAGACCCGGGTTCAATTCCCGGCGGGAGAGTCCGCCAACCGACCAAGTCGGCCATCTTTTTTCTTTTTTTTTTGTTTCACCTACTTTTGTTTTCCGCCTATTTCCCACGCATTCCATTCCACACTTCCCCCCACGTGCTGTTGATTGATTTTGCATTGACCGAATTCTCGGGCTTGTTATGTTACTCTCGCAAATTTACCTCCAAAATATCCCTACCCTATACCTATCAACCTTCCATTGAAGCATCTATAATAGCTGGTTTTCTATGAAATATATCTTATTATCTCCTGATATCCCTTGAAGGAATAAATATAGGCCAATAATAGGGGACAATCTGTGGAGTGAGGCATCACGAGCCGGCAAGCGGTAAGAAGGATGTTAATATGCAGTCTGCAGCCCTGTTAGTTAGACCATTTTGACGTCATGCACTCAATCCATTTATAGTCTGGATTGGAGCAACTTATTTCAAATTGAATAAGAGACAAGTGTCGGCATTATATAGAGTGGTTGAACGCAATGGTAAGAGCCGGATGGGAGACGGGGAGACTGCGCTTACTATCAAATGTTAGTTGGATTAGACATGCCATAAACATCTGATAAAGCGATTGTCTGAATTCCAGTATACCTTCGTTTTATCAATATAGTGTTTTGTATACAAAACCTCCCACCACCAGCCAAAAAACATAACCCTAGTCATTAAACCGCCTAGCCATATAACATGCCACTATCGCAAGAAGTAACACGACGACGATACCAATAATGCCGATTGCTAGGTTTCCTCCATGTCTGAGTAAGATCAAGCCGACAAATAGAAGAATGAAGCCTACTATAAGAAAACCCCCGGAAATGAATAAGAGCTCCTGAACGTGTGTATGAAGGTCATCGTTCAATGCCTGCGTATGGGGTAATGGCGGCGTATGGGGTAATGGCGGCGTATTGGGTAATGCCTGCGCATTGGGTAATGCCTGCGCATTGGGTAATGCCTGCGCATTGGGTAACGCCTGCGTATTGGGCTCCTTGTTTCGAAGCAATACCAGGATAATAATTGTGAAAAATAAGCTTGTTGTAAAAACGACAAAGGCAACGGAAAGTATGATTTGAAATGCATCGGTGTGAAACTCTTTGCCGCAGCACGGCATTGGACATGTTGTGGAAAGTGTAATCACGTTGCCATACGTAAAGGCACCCGCAAAGGTGGCTACCAAGGCCAGGGCATTTGAAATCTCTATATAGGGAGCGGGGTCCTAATCGCGTTAGAATATTCGTGGTGATGAGAAAGCCATGCAAAGCTACACCTACACGAGGGGGCATTTTGTTATAATTAGAGGATGGGTGGTTATTAGTCCGAGTAGCGGCCTGGTAAGACGAAGCCTTCACTGAAAGATGAGCAAGGGTGGGAATGTGGTCTTGGGTAGTGGATTGGTCTTATATATTCGGATCTGGTCTACAATAACTCCAACTACCCACGAAGTCAAAATCCGCGCTCTCACCCTCCAGTCACTACGGAGAAATCTATTGGAGGTAAGGCTCTGAGCACTCTGGTTGAACCATGTAGTATGAGGCTACTCAGGAATGCAAACCGAACTTAGAAGCCACCTGTTGATCACACGGCGCCTAGCATAGCTAGTAGTGCAAAGTTAACACTAAAACGGCGTGAACCGGTTTGGAAAGCGCTACTTCAGCTCTCGTTGATTTTGATACATATCGTGGACTTCGCATTTCTCTTCGACCTTCGTGGCCAATACAGCTGATGCTTTGACACAATATGTACCATGCTGATAATAGAGGCTACCACTTGTACTCCGGTTGCTATCTTAGGCTTGCATTCTCACCTCAAGTGTTTGTAAAAACAAATTCAGACAAAAACCAAGCGTTTAGTGTAATTCATCACAACAAATGGCAGCAAGGGATGAAATGTAATTAGATCTTGATACTCTCTGCTATCGTGAGGGATGAGGTGTTAAGATTGCGGACCGTAAATTACACTGGGTTGTTCTTATTGTAACAATGTTGAAGGAGTTAGGCTTTTACGAATAGGGTGGCAATGGATATGGTTTAGCCAACTATTGAAGTGAAAGAGATCCCGTTTATTTCAAGTGAACAGATTCTGTTTGCTGAAATTGAAAAAAAAGAAAAAAATTATCTTTGTTTCGACTGAGGCGTGGGAGGGGAGGTGGTTATTATTTGCATTTCCTTACCAGCAAAAAGATTTCGGGTGCATAGCCGAGCAGAGGCGTCTAAGCCGAAGCTAAATTCTTGGGGAAAGCCAACGGCATTAATGGCTCGAAGTTGAATACTAGTCCTAAATGCGATGGGAAGTACAAATTCGGTTGCAGTGTAAAGTATTTTGCTAGGGCATTCCAAAATCAAGACATTAGCTCAATCTTGATACAGAACACCATGTTCCAAATTTCGCTAGCTAGTTACGAGAGTGATATTTCACGTCGCCATAAGCCGTATATCACAAGCCACCACTCTATTCCAGCACCCCTCGGCCCAGGCCATGGCATCTTCTGATGATCATTCCCAAATCTAAAACACGCCATTAGGATTTTTATGCTCAGATCGAGGAGGTATTGGAGCAATAGAATCCCAATGCTCGGTGAAAACGCCGTTCTGGTGCCGAAGGATTTCCATGGCCCGCAGGCCTTCAGTTCCGTCATGCTGGTCGATGTGGAGATGCACAAAAACAAAATCTCCGTCCACAAGCACTCTCTTATAATTCATTGTAAGCTTTTTGTTCGGATCCTTGGCCTCGCGTTCTGCGAATTCGATAATGGATTGGCGACCAGTGCCGACGGTAATATTGTGCTGAATGTAATCCTCGGAGAGCAGGCGATCAGCAACGGAATAATCGAGGAACGTAAACATGCCCTCAAATAGTTCGATGAGCTTCTTGGCTTTCTCAATCTGCTCGGGAGTCTGGGGAGGCTGGTCGGTGAGCTGCTCCCTCCAGATTTTGTCGACTCTGGCTAAGATAGCTGGGCTGGACATGATGAGAGTATGCTGTGATAGTAACGAATCTGAAAAATATTTCTCGGAATGTAGGATGATGAAGTAACGCGAAAACCAAAATGATGTTGCTTGTAAAAGATTACTTTTCATTTAATATATGCGATATGTAAGTCTTTATTGACGCTTTGACAGCCTCTCGAATGGTGGACATACATACGACCAACAGCTACAACATCAATGCTTAGCCGGACATTGAGCCGTACAAGGCCGAGGAAGAGACGTCGGCATGCCGATGCGGAGCCAAGTGTTGTGGGTCC